TGGGTGTTTTCAAAATCCCTTTACCGACCCTCTTCTCCTCCCCTCCACCTTTGGTTGTGTGTGTTTTTCCCCCTTCTTCAGTTTCTCGTCCTTTCCTCTTGGAAAGAGGGCACGAGGCAGGGTTGAAGAGGTATATGGGTCAGGATGTGGCACCCCATCAGCCAAGCAAGAAGTGTTACCTCCCCCCGCCACATCCAGAGGGCCTTTCCCTTTGTAAAGAAAACAGTTCTAAAACAAAGGCCGTCTGTCCCAGGGTGGAGGAGCCCCTCCTCTGTTGCTCCCAGCAGGAGGGCCCAGACCCCAGAACAAGGAGCCCAGTGTGTCTGCCTGCTGTCTGGGACCCCGAGCTGACCACCAGCGAGTGAGCGGGAGAGTCCCTTTTCCTAAGCCAGGGGTTTTGCCAGAGTTCCAGCGCTGAAGGAACCTGAACAAAAGCATCAGCTCCAGAGGCTGGAAAAGTGACTTTGGCCGGGGATGCTGGGTGCTCTTATCCAGCACTTCTCTATTCTCTACAGCTGGGCTGTTCACAGAACCATTGGGGGCATAACAGAGGAGGGGGGGGCTTCAAGGTGCATCTTCTGTTTGCCTGGTGTGTGTTCAGGGGAGCAGGGTGCCTGCTGAGCGACCTCATCATCTGCCTCAATTAATGACATTTCCCCCCCCCCTCTCCCCATCCAGAAATACTTCCAACCTTCATCCACAGCCGGGCCCTATACTGGTGAACAAATGGTCTCACATTTTTGCTGAACAAAATGTTCTAAACAAAAGTGCCTGAGGGTGGCTTTCGGAACCAGAAAGGAGGGGGCCAAAAGCCGTCCAAGACAGCAAGACACCGTTTCCCCCCCCACCACCATCATAAGGAGTAGAAATGCACCTTTCCTAAGGAAGCCCCCACCCCACCCGCCCTCCCAGTACTCCGGGCTATAGAAATCCCCTGGGTGGGCATTTCACTGGCGCCGGGATGGCCTCTTTCCTTGGTAAAGGGGAACCGTGGGACAAGCCAGGCTCTGTCTTGGCCCAAAGCGATCATTATAGGGAGTCAACCCACGACCTTCATCTGAATCAGTGGATCTCAACGTTGGGCAACGCAGGGGATCTTGAAGGGCAATTCCCAGAAGCCTCCACCGCCAGCTGGGCTGCCTGATGTTCCTGGAAGTTGCAGTCCAAGAACACCGGGGGGGGGTCACCCATGGTTGGGAACCATAACTCTCTAAGCCATCAGTTTTCGACTGCCAATAGGGCTAAAAAGACCTGTTCCACCCGAGGGACCCAGGAGGGGCGGAGGTGAGACGCAGGGATTTGGAGAGAGGACCGAGGTGGCTCCTCAGGGTCTGTGGCAGAGGGCGGGGGGGGGGTCGTTTGGGCTGCTGCCTTCCTCGCCCTAACTGGAGCCCCGACGCTGCCTGGGCAGTGACGACTCCGGCTGCCTGGGCAGTGACGACTCCGTCCAGGGTCTCCGCTTATATACCTGTGTGTGTGTGTGCGGAGAGCTGGTCACGGGGGAGGACCCTTCTGGCCCGTCCAGGGTTCTGGAGCAGGCGGGAATCCCACCGAAAAGGCTTTCTCCAGCCCCGCGGGCGGCAAGGCGGACCCGGCGGGGCTTCTTTCCCCAAGCGCGGCGACGTGAACTGCTAGCAAGGCCAGCGAGGAGGCAGGAAGGAGGAAGGGAAGGGCGCGGGGCGGGAAAAGGTGGCTCCCCCGCCGGCCGCCAACTTCAGGCGGAGCAGCCCGGCGAGAACATTTACTTCACCGGCTGAACTTCCTGCTCGCCCCCGCCAGCCGGCTGCCGGCCACTTCTGGGCTCCCTCCACCCTCAACTTGCCAGGAATCTGCATGGAATGACCGCCGCCCCCAGTCTCGGGCTTCGCGGCAACCCAGTCTCAGGCGGCCCGGGGGGTGGGGTGGGGGCGGTGGCCAGAAGGGGCCCCCCAGGGATTAAATGTCTCCCTGCGCGCCGCCCCCCCCT